ACCACTCACTTCTAGCAACCATGAATCTGTTCTTTGTATCTATGAGACTGTTTTTTTGGGGGGGAGCAGTGGGGGTTGGTGTGTGTGTGTGTGTGTTTTAAATAGATTCCCTGGAGAAGGAAATGGCAACCCACTCCAGTATTCTTGCCTGGGAAATTTCATGGACAGAGAAGCCTGGTGGGCTACAGTCCATGAGGTTGCAACAGCTGGATATGACTGAGCAACTAAACCACTATACACACACACACACACACACACACACACACACACACACACATATACACACACACACACACATAAGAGATCACATCATCTTTCTCTGTCTGACTTCACTTAATATTATGTCCTTGAGGTCTATTCATGTTGTTGCAAATGGCAAGATTTCATTCTTTTTTTTTATGGCTGAATCATACTCCATTGCACTACATATTATTTATCTATTCATCCACTGATGGACAGTTTAGGTTCTTTCCATGTTGTTGGTATTGTAAGTAATGCTGTAATCAACACAGGAATGCAGATATTTCTTTGAGAATGTGATTTCATTTCCTTCAGATAAATACCTAGAAGTGGAATTGCTGTATTATATACTAGTTTTAATGTTTTGAGGAAGCTCCATATTGTTTTCCATAGTGGCTGCAGCAATTTATATTCTCATCAATAACTGATTTTCTTCACATCCTTCCCAATACCTATTTCTTGTCCTCACGATTATAGCCATAGGTGCGAGGTGATAATTCATTATGGTTTTTATTTGCATTTCCCTGGTGAATAAGGATATTGAGCATCTTTTCATGTGTCTGTTGGCCATGTATATGTCTTCTTTGGGAAAATGTCTATTCACATTTTCTGCCCATTTTCACATCTGATTGTTTTTTACTGTTGAGCTGTAGAAGTTCTTTGTATATTTTGGCTACTAAGCCCTTATCAGATATTCAATTTGCAAATATTTGCTTCCATTTAGTGCCAACCTTTTAATTTTGTTGATAATTTCCTTTGCTGTGCAGAAGCTTTTTCCTTTGATATAGTCCCATTTGTTGATTTTGCATTACTTAATTTTACTTTTGCTGGCAGATTTAAAAAATCATCACCAAGATCTATATCAAGGAACTCATCATCTGTGTTTTCTTCTAGCTTTATGGTTTCAGGTCTTCTGTTCAAGTCTTTAATCAACCTTGAGCTAATTTTTGTAATGTATGATATAAATTAGTGGCCCAGTTTCATTCTTCTGCATGTGGCTGTACAGTTTCCCCACCACTATTTATCAAAGAAACAAACTTCCCCCACTATATATTTTTTTCTCCTTTGTTATAAGTTAGTTGGCCAGGTATATATGGGTTTATTTCTAGGCTCTCTACTCTGTTTTATTGATTGACGTGTGTATTTATGCCAATACCATACTAGTATAATTACTATAGTTTTGTAACAGAGTTTGAAATCAGGGAGCATAATGCTTCTAGCTTTGTTCTTCTTGGGATTTCTTTGGCTATTCAAGGTCCTTTGTGGAGTCATACAAATTTTCAGAAAATTTGTTCTATTTTTGTGAAATTGCATTGAATCTGTAGATTGCTTTGGGTAATTTTTAACAATATTAGTTCTTCCAATTCACAAGCATGGCCTATCTTTCCATTTATTTGTGTGATCTTCAATGTCTTTCTTTAATGTCTTATAGTTTTCAATGTACAGGTCTTGCACTTCCTTGGTTAAATTTATTCCTAGGTATTTTATTCTTTTTGATGAAAGTGTGAATGGGGTTCCTTTCTTAATATCTCTTTTTGATAGTTTGTTGTTGGCATGTAGAAATACAACTGACTTTTGTATATTTATTTTTTTAACCTGCAACAATAATGAATTTGTTTATTGTTACTGTACTAACTTTTTTGATGGCATCTTTAGGGTTTTCTATATATAGTATTATGGTGAGCGAATAAGCACACAAGCTTGCATCTGCAAACAGTGACAGTTTTCCTTCTTTTAAACATGGATGAAATTTATTTCTTTTTCTCACCACACTGCTCTGGCTAGCACCTCCAACACTATGCAAAATAAAGGTAGCAACAGTGATCATCCTTGTCTCATTCCTGATCTTAGAGGAATGCTTTTAACTTTTAACCATTAGTATGATGTTAGCTGTGGGTTTGCCATAAGTGGCTTTTATTATGTTGAGGTACATTCCCTCAATACCTGCTTTGTTGAGAGCTTTTATCATAAATGGATCATATATTTTATCAAATGCTTTTTCTGCAACTATTGAGATGGTCATACAGTTTCTATCCTTCATTTTGTTAATGTGATGGATTCACCTGATCACTGTAAATGATTCTTTTTAATGTATTATTGACCTTGAATTGCTAATATTTGTTAAGGAGTATTTGTACCTATGTTCATCAGGAATATTGGCCCATAATTTTCTTTTTTGTGTGGCATTCTTGTCTGGGTTTGGCATCAGAATAATGCTAGCCTCATAAAATGTTTGGAAGAGTTCCTGCCTCTTCAGTTTTTTGGAAGAGTTTGAGAAGGATTGGTTTCTTTTTTGAGTATTTGGTAGAATTCACCAGTGAAGTGGGGCTTCCAGTGCAGGGGCTACAGGTTCTATCCCTTGCCGGAGAACTTTGATCCCACATGCAGTGTGGCCTGGCAAAAGAAAAAAACCAAAAACCAAACAAAAAATTTCAGGGAAGCTCTCTGGTCCTGGACTTTTATTAGTAGGTTTTTTGATTACTGATTCACTTTCCTTACTATTAAGAGTAACTGCTTAAAAAAAAAAAAAAGAGTAACTGCTTGTTTCAGATTTTCTGTTTCATCCTGATTCAGTCTTAATACCTTGTATGTTTTAGGAAAGTGTCTATTTCTTCTAGGTTGTACAACTTGCTGACACATAATTGTTTCACTTTTGATTTTATTGAGTCTTCTCTCTTCTTGGTGAAATCTAGCTAAAGATTCTTAAACAGCTAGCATTAAATGTAATCATGTTTTATAGTATGTTATAAATTTATTTAAAGGAATTGTCAGACATGTCTTTTATTAGAGCGGGGAAAAGCTTTTAACATTCAAAACCTGTAAGATTACTTAAATCCTGCAGATGAAAAACCATGCCATTGTTGTGTTATTGTCTCCTTGATACTCTGATAGATCTGGTAAGTAAGAGAGGAGGCGACCTGTTAATGGAAAGATTAATGAACTAGCAGTCAAGAATTCTGGTTTCTAGTTCTGACTGTGCCACTCACTCAAAGCTTCACTGTGAACAAGTTCAACTTCTTTGGACTTCAGTTTCCTAAACTGTAAAATGAAAGGGTTGGGCAGTATCTCAAAAGACACTTAGAGCACTTAGAGCTAAAACAACTTACGACCCAGAGAGTTTGGCCAGGCTTGGATCAAACTTTTATTCCAATAAAGGACGAATTCATAAAGCAGAAACATTCTGTAACTGAAAAAAGAGAGCTAGCCATCTATCTGCTACCAGCACAGATACAATGTGTTTCCTGTCCTTTCCACAAGTAGCAGTGGGAAGAGGGGGAGGGGGCCCACAGAAACAGGATGTCCTTCCCAGACTTGTCACTCACCGCCCTGTATCTTTACATTTTCTCATGGCCAAAAGGTCTGTTATCCCAGAACTCCATCCCACAAAAGAACTACAAATGACTTGCTAAGGGGACAAAAGTGCTTAATTTAATCTTCATTTGTTAATATTTTTTTCAGGTGCCTTCCTTTCATTATCATTGTAGTGTGAATTTATAGTGACATAATTTCAAAGACTTGAGAGAAGGGTAACACTTGAACACACTTGAAACGCCTGTGGTGTGTCTTTCGTAGGGTAACAATAATGCCAGTTTGCAAGTGAACCAAGGAAGAAACCGCGAACCGGACGAGTAAGTGAAAAGGGAGAAGTGTCCAAATACCTAAGATAGTTCTAGAGCGCAGAAAGGGACTTTGTTCTTTCAGGTAGTTTCAGGCACTGTGAGAATTGAGTGTACATCTGCCACTCTCTTTGATGACGGGAATTGTGTCATTTATCTTTATATTCCCAGTGACGGCACTTAAGAGTCAAACATTGAAATGAGTATAAACTGCTCGGGAATGAGGAAAAATGAGGTCGAAATGACAGAGCCTTGGATATCCAAAACTTTTTACAGGACTTACTGCAAGACTAACTACAAAGGGAAAAGGACTTCAGCGGAGTAGTGCTTCAAATAAGATGTCAAAAAACCAGAATTTGGAAGAAGCAGGAAGTTTATGTGTATAGTTCTGTAGAGAGATGATCAGAGTTCCTTCGTGAGAACTGATCTGGCAACAGGTTTGATTGAACCCTAAGCGACAAAGAAAGGCAGGAACGACAGCCGTACGGAAATGGACAGAACTGAGGCGTGTCTAGGGTCAGAGAATCACCGAAGTCAGAGCAGAAGGGGTCTGAGAGTGGTGGCTGGAGAACCCCGGTCCCGGGGCTGCACTGGCGAAGCTTGCTTTGAGCTTGTTTCTTATCAGAACTACCAGGAAACTCTAAAAGATGTGCAGCTCGGGCTAACAGTTCAACGCGCTAACTTCCGTGTGTGTGCGTGTGTGTCTGCAACAGCGAGCGCCACCCAAGAACTTCCGCGTGCGAGGGAGACCAGAGCACCGCCCGCGGGTGCCCAGCCCCTTCAGTGAGGAAACCCGCGCACTCCGCCAGGGGGCGGCCCCCACCGCCGCGGGAAGGGGCGGGGCTGTGGGCGGGGCCGCGCTCGCGCCCCGTCAGAACGCAGCCCCACAGGCCGCCCGCGCCGCGCTTGTCGGCGCCCCGCCCCGCGACTACATTTCCCAGCAAGCCCCGGGCCGCCCGCGCGCCGCAGTTGACCCATTTCCCGGCCCGTCCCGGGCTCGGCCGGCCCCCGCGCCCAGGCGGCTGCTCCCTGCTGACTGGGGTGTGGGCGGGGAGCGGCGGAGGGAGGAGGAGGCGCTGCTGGCTGCCGCCGTTGCCTCCGCTCCTGGGCGCCTGGGCAGCCTCCCCGGTTCCTGCGACCGCCATGGACGAGCAAGCGGGTCCCGGCGTCTTCTTCAGCAACAACCACCCGGCCGCCGGTTGTGCCAAGGGTCTCGGGCCTCTGGCGGAGGCTGCCGCGGCCGGCGACGGGGCGGCTGCAGCGGGGGCGGCCCGAGCCCAATACAGCCTCCCGGGGATCCTGCACTTCCTGCAGCATGAGTGGGCCCGCTTCGAGGTCGAGAGAGCCCAGTGGGAAGTGGAGCGGGCGGAGCTGCAGGTAAAGACCCTCCCGGCCTGGCCCTCTTCATCCCGCCTCTTCGCTCCCTTCCGCCCCGCCCCAGACCCTTCCCCCTCCCCTGCTCAGCCGTCGGTCGTCCCCTCCCCCTTTGCTCCCGCCCATCCCACCCCGAACCTCGTCCCCCTCCTCCCTTCGCCTGTGCCTGTCGCTGACCCCACTTCCTCGACCCGGGTTCCCTCTCTCGCCCCTGATACGTTGTTTACCTTCCTCGCACCTTTTCATCTGCTCCTTTCCACTCTTAACTCTCAGGTTCATTTCAACTCTCTTGCCATTCCACATCTTAGGTGTTCCCTTCAGTTTACTAATTGGGCTTACAGTAGTTTTGCCAGATAAGCAATCATCCCGTCCTGGTGAGCCCCATCCTGGGTCTGGAGATGATCCCCGTAAAAGGTGTTGATAGTTGGCGCCTCTCTGTGAGGAAGGTGATCAAAGAAGACAACCAGAAATTGTGTCCGTGAGGCCTTGACTTTAAGCAAGAAGCTGCTGTTGGGCCAGAGTGTTACTAGGAGTATCAGCTCCCTTTTTAGAAATGTAGATGTTTCTTCTCTTCCTTCTCCCTCGTCCCCTCCGGCGTTTCTCTTAGATATTTCAGATTCCTGGATTTTGAATGAAGGACCTAGATGAGCTCTGCCAGATGATGGTTCAGAGATGATTTCCCCTTCTCAGAATCGAAAACTTCCCACGGGTTAATTTTCTGTTCAGGGTGTTGTGAGATTGACTGGTACTTTAACAGGAAACTAAAAGGAGCTTTAAAGTTGGTTACATTTCCTTGCATAATTTGCAAGATAAAGTGTATCCAGGGAGGAACGGCTGTGGGCTCTTAGAAGGCTGAGAGTGAGGCGTACTTTGCAGGCAGTTCTGAATTGGCAAGTAGGTTTCAGTGGCTGTTCTTAAAACTTCCAAGGCATTCACCAATTTCACAAAGAACTTAGAAAACTCTGAGTGCCTATGTCTTTCTGTTTACTGGCTAATCCTGTATGCTTGTGAAATCCGAGTATAGTTTTGGTTGGTGAAATACTTGAAGTTAAAATACTACCCACTGTGCCACTGTTTTTGGTAGCATGTATTTTCTTTGGCACTTAAAGAAAAGAAAATAAATAGAATCGTGTTAAATGGAATCGTGTGCTGGAACAGACTACTTTGGTGGAGTGGAAGTGGTTGTGGAAAGAGCAAGCAGAAAGGATTATAATACAGGCTGTGTTTGCTGCCAGCTCTGTGACCTTGAGGAAATCCTTTAACAAACTCTCTGAACTTCGGTTTCATCCTATGTTCAGCGTCTTTATTAAGTGCCAACACTGTGCCTGTAGGCTTGGGGGTTAACTGACAAAACCTCTGTCCTCATGGAGCTTATGTTTTAGTTGAGAGGCAGCAAATGCAGCTATATAGTATGCTGATCCATAGTGGCAACTGCCATGGGAAAAATACACCAGGATGCAAGAATAGAGTGTGATCATACTCAGTCGTGGCTGAGTCTTTGCGACCCCATGGACTGTAGCCCACCAGACTCCTCTCTGTCCGTGGGATTTTCCAGGCAGGAATACTGAAGTGGATTGCCATTTCCTCCTCTCAGGGATCTTCCCCACCCAGGGATCAAACCCCAGTCTCCTGAGTCTCCTGCATTGGCAGGGAGATGCTTTACCACTTAGCCACCTGGAAAAGCCCCTTAGAGTATGGTGGGGCAGCTGTTTTAGATGGAGTGGTCAGGGAAGGCCTTAGTGAGAAGTTGAATGAAGTGAGGGTGTGATCTATAGTTTCTGAAATTCTGCTTAATTTATACAGTTACATGTTTATATTCTTTGGCAACTTTTTCAGTGGTACCGTTTTGTTAGTTTAGTATCTAGTCTGTTGATGTTTGTAATTTTTCTCATAATGAACTAGCAATGCATTCCATAAATGAATTTGTGGATTTCAGACTTCAAGGAAGTATTAAAGGCAGGCTTTAACCTTAATCATTGTACAATTGTGGATAATGATTTTTGTATGTAGCTGCTTAAATTTTAACTTCTTATCTAGTTTAGGGAATGTAAGATAAGTCACACTAATTTGTTCAGAAACAAACAAAATGGTCCTTACCTTTCTACCTGGGAAGTCCGAAAATTTCCAACCTATCTTAACTTCTCTCCCTCCACCCCCATATTTAACTTTTAATTTCCCTGTATCCGTAGTTACTCTTTAGTTATGCCCTCTCTACCCCTGCCCCCCAGAATATATACACACATACACACACTACTTACTGGGTTATTTATGGCAACTGTTAAACTTCTGGTAGGTTTCCTATTGGTGCTCATCATATCAAGAATACTACATGATTACTGAATCTTTTGGTTTGAGCTCCAGTTAAATTAAGCATCCATGGAGAAACTTCAAAAATGTGCCATGACTTTTAAACAGAACAAGTATATTCTTTTGGAAGTAGAGAGTTTGTAGGAATCTGTGTTTTTTGATTCTCTTATTAGCGTAATTGAAAATATATTTTAAAAAATCCTTTCTTTACATCAGAATCATTAAATTTGATTATATTTCTTCATTTTTCTTTTGCCTTTGGAATTTTTCTAGAAAAACAGTAGGAAATAAGACTTGAATGAATGATGGTAATGAAATTTGGATTAGTTAGTATCCTCCTTTTATTTTTATATCTTTGCCTAAGCCAGACTAATACCAGACTCAACAAAATCCCTTTAAGATTAGGTCTAATTGTCCCTTGAGGAACCTGTCAGTCCTGCTCTTCCAAGTTGCCAGGGCCGAGTTGTAAAAGGCAATCCAAGTTCTCCATGGCTTGCCTGCATCACTTCCTCCCTCCTTCAGATCTGGGGAGTAAGGAACTGACTACCTTGTGCCAAAAATTTACTGGTCATTTTTTGCCCCTTTGCCCATGTTGATTAATATAAAATTCTCTTTTTACTTGTGGGAATCCCCCTCTTGCCTCACCACCACCACCATTCATATGAGAGTATGTAATTCATGGGAAAAGAATGGTCAAGATTACTTCTGAGCTTTAGATTTGTGAAAGAAATTGGAGATAGAATATGAATCTAATATTTGAGAGAATTTTCTGTGTATGACACATTGTGTTAGATGATCTCAAAGACACATGGAGTCTAGTTGGAGTGATAGAATGAACAAAATGCAGTAGAATCAGAATTTATCATTTTGGGGGTTTAACTTTTCTTACAATAGCATAAGAGAGGAGAACTAGCAGTGAATGAGGAGAAGAACAGGAAGAAAGAACTAATGAGCTAACGAGAATCTAAGACTCAGTGTTTGAAAATTACTGATTTCTGGGAAAGAAGCATGTAAGTAAAAAATAGTAATTATCGTGTCTAGATTTTGATGTTGTGTGTGGTAGGGGAGGTTCTGCTATCTACCTGGAAATGCTGAATTGTGTGAAAAAGGTTAAAGGATTGAGTATTAGGGCATGTGGTGTGGAGGCTCTGTGTGTGTCCTCAGTCACGTCTGATTCTTTGCGACCCCATGCACTGCAGCACGCCAGGCTTCCCTGTCCATCACCAACTCCCGGAGCTTGCTCAAACTCATGTCTGTTGAGTCCGTGATGCCATCCAACCATTTTGTCCTCTGTCGTCCCATTCTCCTGCCTTCAATCTTTCCCAGCATCAGGGTCTTTTCCAGTGAGTCAGTTCTTTCCATCAGGTGGCCAAATAAATAAGTGAATACATTTATAAAATGTTTGATGGTAATAAGTGCCATGATAAAGTAGGGTTAGGAGAATATGGAGTGCCTGAGAGGGTAGAGTGAGGAAGAAAGGCTTTACTGATGAGGTGCTATTTAAGCAAAGACCTGAAAGGGTGAAATCTGAGGAAAGAATATTCTAATCAGGGGAACAGTAGGGAGAAGGGTAAATATGCTCAGAGTGTTCAAGGAGTAATTAGGCAAGTGTGGCTGGAGTAGAGGAGGAGAATGGAAGAAAAGATGTCAGAGGTATTGGGTCTTTCTCATTGTAAGGACTTTATTTTTATGTCAGCAAGATGGGCAACTGTTGAAATGTTTTGAACAGAAGAGTGACACCATCTTTCAGTGGAACCCTTTGCAAGGATTCAGAATAGACTGGGAGGGAAGACAGATCAGAAAGTCTAGTTAGAGGCTATTTTCATCATCTAAGCCAGAGATGAACTAGAGTGATGGTGACCAGATAACATATTCACCTGTGATACATACTTAAAATATAATAGATTCAGAATACATCTTTGAAGGTAGGGTTAGCCAGATATGTCGAAGGATAGGAAGTGAGATTTGAGGAAAGGGGGATTAAAGTATGACTCAGCTTCATAGACTGTTGTGAAGGTTTACTGAGCATTTAAATGGACAAAATAAACTCTCAAACAAAGAAAACCTCTTAAATGACATTTTATTTTTTTGTTATTGTAACTGTTATTTACAGTTACAGTGAAAGACAACATGGCACAGAGGTGGATTTAAATCTTTAAGCTTTCTATTTTCTTTCATGCTAAATATATGTTTGCCATAACTCTGACCTCTCAGAAGCTTAGTGTCCTCATGTGTTAAGGTGAGGCTGGTAAACTACCTGATGAGAATTAAATGAGATATTTAAAAATATCTAGCAGAAGTCTGGTACATGACATAAAGTGCTGAATAAATGAACGGTAGCAAGTGTGTGATGTTGTTTGCACTCTTAATGTATCTTCTTGTCCCCAGAGAACAGCAGAATCTTCAGTTATAACTCTTCTAAGGCTAGAGCAAGTAAGTGCCATCCTGGGACCATGCAGTCTAGTACTTTGGGTCTGATGATGGCACTTGGACGTTTAAGAAAGAGTGATTATTGCCTTCAGCATCAGCCTCAAAATACTGATTGTATACTTGAAATGTACTTGCTTTTCTTAGTAGTCCACTGTGTCTCTTGTTTTGGAACTTACCTAAATTTTTCTGAATGTTTGTCTTAACCTTACGTGACTTCTTGGATAACAAATTGTTTACATTTACCAACCACTCTATAAAAATAATCT